CAGATGTACATGAAAGGGCAGGTGCCTGTGGAAGGCAGGAGAAAACATTGTTATATCCCATGGAGGTGGAATTACAGGTGGTTGTTGAGTTGCCTAGTGTGGGTGCTGGGAACTGAACTGGGGTCCTTGGCAAGAGCAGTATGCATTTTTAAACACTAAGCCATCCCTCCAGCCATGTGCAGACTCTTAATTTATGTTTGGAGCACAAATCCCTCCCATTGGCAGAGCAGACTTCCATATGAAAGAAGAAATTGTTTTAAAAATATGATCTGCATCTGATATATCTATATACATTTTTATACAGCTCCTCAAAGGCATGAGCCTCATTGGACCACATAGTCTTGGTTTATGTGGCATATGGTATCAGTTTCAGATGCATTAGATGGAAGTATAGAGTTTGGTCCTAAGAGGAATTTTTATCATCTTGGTCTGCCATTGCTTGGACACATGGCAGAAATGATGGTTGCTCTGTCTCTCCTGCCCCCTTGCTTGGAGCAGTTTCCTGCAAGCTGCTTGGGGAGTATCTCTCTCAGGGGCTTCCCATATTCTGGTGCTACCATATGCCTTAGCTGTGTGCCATCGCTGTCTATTTTTCATGTCAGGCATTCCTGACAGTTCAGCTAACGCCTCATGGATGCACTCAGTTCATAGTATGGGTTTCCATTCAGGACTCTGGGATTGAACCTTCTTCTTTGGGCTTCTGTCTCTTCCTTGGTTTTGGACCCAGAGCCTTTGTCCATCTCATCTGCCTGTTAGGAGACTCACAAGATCTTCTTCCGCAGTGGGTCTAGAAGTGGACTGAAGCTCTGCTTAGAAATGTCCCCCTGGTTCCCAGGCTGCAGCCCCACCAACTCTGTTTGATGGTGACAATTTCTGTTCACAGGAGTGGTGCTTAGCTTGCAATGGCTCTTTTCACACACCTATAACCATCCTCATGTGGTTTTCCCATGGACCAGAGGGTTTAGTTTTTACAGTCTTTGCATTGGAGCTGATTGCCGATGAGTGTAGGAGCATGTTTACATTTTCTGTGTTCATGTTTGAATGTAGCCGGCACAGCAGTTCTCCAGTTGTTTCTGTCTCTTATCTGTGTTCACCACTCTAGGCCAGCTTCCTCCACACAGCAGGAAATGGGCACATCCTGTTCCTCAGATTTGCACTTTGCATCTATGCCCTAGAGAGTAACTAAATTATGATCCTGGATTCCATGTTCAAAACCCCATGCCTGTGACTGTCACATGTTGGGTCAGGTACGCAGTCACTCACAACTAAAGCTATTGAATAGTTTCATGAGATTCTTCACTCTAGACTCTTGAGTGTGTGTGTGTGTGTGTGTGTGTGTGTGTGTGTGTTAAAGAAGACAGTGTGTTTGTCTACCATGCTTGTGCATGAGCACTTACTCATATGAACATGTGGAGGCCACAGGTTGACATCCATTGGATGTCTTCCTCTATCGCTCTCAACATTAATTCTTTTGAGACAGGGTTTCTCATTGAAGCTGGAGCTGGGTGATTCAGCTGGACTGACTGGTAGTCAAATCTCTGGGATCTACCTGTTTCCATCTGGCTATCCCAGGGCTGTGTTTATAGATGTTTACATGGTTGCTGGGGATCTGAACTTGGGTTCTCATGCTTGCACAGCAGACACTTTATCCACTGGGCCATCTCTCCAGCCTTCTTTAGCCACTTCATCTTTTTCAAATCTGAAAATGCTAATCGCAGGTAGCAAAATGAGAAAAAGAATTGTCCTATTCTCAAATCGAGCACATGTTGGAGTGGGATTTGAAGGCAAACATTTGGTGGCACTTCAGGCCATTGCTCTATGTGTGGTAGAACTTGGTGACCCTAAAGAAAATGGGCCAAATTTAACAGTTCCCGATCTTCGCGAGCTGCAGCCTGCAGGGTAAGAATGTGACTGACCTGCAGGGCAGTAGTGGCACATGCCTTTAATCCCAGTACACAGAAGATAGAGGCAGGAGGATGTCTGTGAGTTGGAGGCCAGCCTGGTGTACAAAGCTAGTTCCAGGACAGCCAGGACTGCTAGACAGAGAAACACTCTCTCAAATAAACTAAAAACAAATAAATAAATAATAAAAGAATGTGACTGACTTAAAGACTTAGAGTGTGCTGTTTCGGAAGCACGTTGAAGTTAAGTCTCCTGGGTGAGGTCAAGGAACCATCACTGCCCCCTCTGTTCTGCACAGATGGTCAGGTTGCTGTAAGGTGGAAGGACTCCTTGTTCCTTTAAGTTAGGCCCAGCCATGGATGTGAGGGAGCAGGCATCCCCTGGCTGCAAAAGGTCCTGTTGTGTTTGTGTGTAAGGGTGAGGGCCTGCAGCTCTCTGCACCTCTCCTGGGAAATTCTGCAGAGTGTATGGCCCAGCTTCTGTGTGCTTGACTCAGATTTTTCCTGGGTCATTGCTTGTGTTTCTGTACACTGCATATTGCAGCCCTCCGTGACATACTTCATGAGAGAGGCAAAGAAAAAGACAACATTGGGTTGTAAATTTCTCCTCTCTCTCTTTCCAAGATTATCCTGAAGGCAATAATTCAAGTGACTATCTTGTACAAACAACAACGTATCTTCCACAGAACTTCACATATTCACCGCATCTCCCCTGTCCAGAGAAGCTGCCGTACATGCGTAAGTGTGAACTCTGTCATTATAAAAGATCAAAAACCACGTTAACCATGTTATCAGGTGGATCATTATTGCGAATGCTGACATTTCTAATATGCTGCATGCTTTTCCTTTTTTTAATTTTAGTTTTTGGAGGGGCAGTGAACACTGATTTGATGGTAGGTGGTTGAAAGCTGAAGACAAATACAGAAGAAAAAAATAAGATAATGAGAAATATCTGTATTTCTCCCATCTAGATTTGAAAAAGTACTTTTACTTAACTTTTTTGTTTGTTTGTTTTGATTTTTCAAGACATGGCTTCTCTGTGTATCCATGGCTGTCCTGGAACTTGCTTTGTAGACCAGCCTAGCCTAGAACCTCACAGAGATTTGCCTGCCTCTGGAATGCTGGGATTAAAGGTGTGTGCCACCATGCCTGGCTTTAACTTTTAAATTCTCTTAAAGAAGATTTAAAAAGTAACTAATGAGTTTTCTTTCTTTGGATGTTAGAACATTATAGACTAAGCCAAGGTCTTCTCTTCCTCTTCCCCATGTAAGTTCCCCTTTTCTCCCTCAGAAATGACCTGGTGTCTGTTTGATTTGTGCATATATAGAGTGTACAGTAAACTTAGTTTTACATAGATAAATGGGGAGAGAGAAAATAGACAGTTTCAAAAGCCTTAAGAATTTTCCTACCCAAGAATCTATCTCCAACTAACAGTCACTCACTAAAGAAAAATGAGTTCTCTCCAAGGGAGCTTCACTGGGTATACAAACCACTCATAAATGCAGGGCCAACACAAAAATGAACTCAGTTATATTTTTGTCTTATAATGATTTGTCTGGGTTTTTTAAAATTATTTATTTATTTACTTGTTTGATTTTCAGGGTTTTTGCTTAAATATTATGGTTTCCAATTTTGTGTTTTTATGGAATTTCTGTGTGTGCAAGTGTGTGTCTCTGTGTCTGTATGTGTTTCTTGTGCTTTGGACTCTTTTATTTATTTCTTTTTCTCCTGTTTGTTTCTTTGTTTTGTCCAGTTCTGGTTGTTGGTTTTGGTTTTAAGTTAGATTCTTATTTGTTTAATGAGAGAGGAGAGAGAGAGAGAGAGAGAGAGAGAGAGAGAGAGAGAGAGAGAGAGAGAGAGAGGAGAAAAAGGAAGGGTATGGATTTGGGTGGGGAGGATCTCGGAGGAGTTGAGGAGAAACCATGGCCAGATATATTGAATGAAGAAAAAATCTATTATCAATTAAAGAATAAAGGAAAAAGACAACCAAAACAAATTAGATGGTTGTCTACATTACATGTTACTCTGTGACCTGAATTTTAGCTTGTTTTTTGAGAATTACCCATGGTCTTCCATGTGAATTTGAATTGTTTTTCTGAATTATTGTGGAGAAAGTCTCTGGATAAACATGCTTTGTTTTATTTTCCAGTTCTCACCTGATGGGCAATTAGGTGGAGTTCAGAAGAGGGTATCCGATCTCTTGGAGCTGGAGTTAGTTTCCTGGATATAGGTGTTAGGAACCCCCAGTCAGAGTGGGAAGCGTTGTTAGCCTCTGAGCTGCCTCTCCTCTTTGTGATTTTTAGACTGATCAAACAGTAGAAACAGTGTCCCATTATTCAAGTTTTTACTAACCTCCTTACTAATGATTAGCTCTCTGCCCCTCATGGCTCCACCCTTGATGGCTGTTGGATCCCATTCAACACCTGTGTCAGGTATTGTTTTACCTGAAGTCACAATTGTCAGTTGTGTGTGCTCTAAGTGTCTTTTTTCACAGTCCTGGGCTTGCTTTCTAATCCTTCTTATGAAGTCTTTTATGAAGTTCAAATTACAGGTTTTCAAATGGATCAATCTCTAAGACTTTGCTTTTTTTTTTTTTAAAGAAGGCAGCTTTTCTTACCTTGACATCATACAAATACCTTTATTTCCTGTTAATTTTTAACTTTCTTCCTATATTTTGCATCCAGTGTGTGGCAGTAACCCAGGTACTATAATTCAGATACATATTTTCAAACATCTATTTTTCCAACTTGTAAAGCTAAAATGCTGTCCTCCAGCTACCAGAAGCTACCCCTCTGTTACTTGCCATTGGGCTCCACTCCTCTCTTTTAGGAATAGTTTCCATAAGCTAGTTTGTGTCTTGACTTTTATATGCAAACTTCTTTTGATTGTTTATTTACCCCCGTGCTCTATTGTCCTTAGTGTCTAAGTGGCTTCTTATGTCTTTATGGAGGAAATTGCTCTCTGCCTACCATGGTTGTAGGAAGGCTTTTTAGTTAATTGTTGGTAGATGTTATAACTGTAATACAAAGGCTTTGCCACATGGCTTAAGGTATGGTTTTCTTCATGGAGGTTGCTTCAGAATCACCCAGAAGGTTTTGTAGAGCACAGGGTCCCTATACTCTCTGAGTTTCCCTTTCAGTGGGGCTACAGTGGCACTGAGAATTTTTATCTTAAAGTTCCAGGGTACTGCTGGTGTTTATGACCCTTGGGATATGTGTCAAGATCCTGACCTAGAGTTCTAGACTTTGCCCTGGGGCTGTACAGAAGAATTGCCTGGGGAGCCTCTATCCTGTTTGGGCACAGCCCATAAGGTTCTTGGTTTTATTGATCTAAACTGTGCCCTGGAATTAGCAAAACAAACAAATGAGCAAGTGATCCTGATCATGCTAGCTCTGTGTGTCCCACGATGAAGAATGATGAGAATTGACTCTTGTGGCCTTCTCATCTGTCGTTTATTAGGACAGACTTGTTTTCCCAAAATAAGTGTTTTTGTCTGTGCAGTACTGAAGCCACTGGGAAATGGTCCATTGGAGTATTGATTACAGTAATTTCTTCTTTGTAATTTGCATATTCATGGAATTATAGTTCTAGGAAATCTTTGTCTTTGGTTTAGTGATTGTTTTCTTCATTATTAGTTTATGGATACTAATTAAACAATTTGAAAGGGTCTGCCTTCCAGGCCCTCATGCCAGCATCCCTCTCCTACAATACTACAGCTCCTGTGGGATGGCTTCTCTGGCCTGGTGCTTGAGAGAGTTCAACTTGGCTGCTGTATGGGCTCTGGGGCTGCCTCTCCCCTGGATTGACAGCTACCCATTCACAGCAGGCTGCTCCATGTTCTTAGCTTAAGAATGAGCACCAATTTCATGTCCAGGGAGCCAGGACAAGTGGGTTATTGGACAGAAAATGTGACCATGTACAGGTGATAATTCAGAAGGGGAATATGAATAGAACCAAAATAGTGAGGCTCCTGCAAAGAGCTGTGAACAGGGCAGGAGTGGAAGGGGGGGACACAAAGACAGAGATAGAGACAGACAGACAGACAGACAGACAGACAGACAGACAGACACACACACACACACACACACACACACACACACACACACACACACACACTTGCTAGTCACGTGACTGCCCAGAGCATTTCTGTGTTGATGCCGGATTGCCAGTGCCACCTTAAGTGTGAATGAAGATGAATCACAGTATAGAGTGTGACACTCTACCAATATTAATTGGATTTCTTCCTTCTTTCTCCCATTTGTTTTGATGGAGCCAGACTTTGTAATAATCAAGGGGATGAGACATGTGTGTCATCCTGAAGCTTACCTAGCTGTGCAGCCTTAGAACAATTCCCTGTGACCACAGAGAGCAGTATTATGTGACATCTGAGTGTAAAATCTCATAGCATAAAAATAATTGAATATAATAGCTTTCCAAGATGTAGCTGGATGCAAAAGATTCAAGTATGGGTGATATTTAATTTATGTGTAACTGCCAACTGTGGTGTGAACTAATATTGGTGTGCTTGATTATGCGAGTATAAGTTCTTCTGGAGTCTCCCCTAGTGTAGCTGTAGGATGGCCAGCTCCAGATTTCCGTACTGTAGAGTTTGAATTTCAGCTGTGTTTGGTATTCAGTAGAGGCCAACCACACTATAAAATCTATCTTAATTCATGTTATTTGTATGAAGAGGGTAAGTGATTATTTCATTGCTATTTAGTATTTACAGGTTCTCCAGAGGGCAGATCAATTCTCAGTTTTTAAAAATCTATGTAAGAATCTTGGTGATAACCAAGTGAAATAGAAACCTGTCCTCCCAGAGGACAAACACAAGTGCTTTAGCATGGGTGTTTTGATTTTGATTTTTCTGTGTGGAACAGAGATGGAAAATGCCAGTTGTGCACTCTGCATAACAATGAAGATAGACTTACCTTCTGCCTGGTTGTCACTCAAGTAGAATTCCCTGGCACTGACTTTTCCTTATCCTGTTCTTGCCCTGATAGCCCCACAGTTGAAAACCTTATGAATGCAGGAGCTTGCTAATATGAATTTTAATGAGTGGATTGAAAGAGGAAAGGCAAGTAAACTCTAGAAGAGCTCACACAATGCTTAACGCCACAAAGTGTCGTATCATGTGGATGTCTGCTGTAAAGAGAAACGGCAGCCGTTCAGAGTGAGTGAGTGGAGTCAGCATCTGGCTGCAGGCCTGAGTATGCAAGGGGGCTCTCAGAGGAGCACAGCTAGTGAGATCCAGCAGAACTGGCCAGGAGCAGGCAGCACCCAGAGAAATGCAGTGTTCTGTCCACAAGGTGAGGCATGAGGCAGAAAGGAAAGTCACTG